TTCTTGAAGCAGGACACGGCTCACCTCAATCTCCCATTCATCTACCTCTACATTCAATGGCTCCATCTGAATTGCCTGCTCTTGATCAGGACTGAAAATGGGAAGCATTACATATTTGCTGGGTTAAAACAAAGAAAAGCGATAAAGTAAAAAGTGATGAGACGCAAAAAAGTTAATATCAATTTGCTAGTATAATCTGATTGATTGCCCTGACTTATATCGAGGTAAGCAGCCATACTGATAATGAGAAGACAAAGTTTCGCCAAACCAGGAACCTATTTTATCACAAAACACGTTTGTAACTATGATTATGTAAGTACACTCTGCAAATCGGATAAAGTTAAAAAAAAAAATAACCACGTTGTTTGTTGAAATCAATCATGGAAACATTTTTAGTCGGTTTCTAAACCAGAAAATTATACTTGAATTTCAAATTAAAGGAAAAAAAAAAAACATTGAATTTAATGATACAAACAAGTGGAATTCAAAGAGACTTGTGAAACAAGAAAGAAAATAATAAACAAACGAACAAATGAAGCTGATTTTAAATAACAATTGATGAATGTTAATTAGTTCTTATTAACCAGTACAGACCGACCGCAGTGAGGTCTGTACCACCGACCGAGATGAAGATTCTCCCATACAGACCGACCTAGCTCGGTTAATAAGATGTTTATTATAAGGCTGTGTCTTATATGCCAATTTTTGATATTCTTTGTACCTTTTATTCTAGACCGGTCTAGATAAGAAAATCTAGATTTCAGCCAATCAAATTCTTGAATTCTGTAGTTCCCAGTCCTTGTGAGACACAGCCATATAATAATTAGGCATATTGATCACGATAAAAGCAGGGATATTATCTCTGTTACAGTCACCCTTCAAGGTCGTGAGTCATGAGAAGGGTTATGAGTGAATTTAACTTTTTTGGCTGAAAGTGAAAACAATGCTTCACAAAAAAAACAAAACAATGGTAAGTTTATGTTACTGACTATAGAGATAGCATGGGAAATATTAAAGCACATGGCGAGAACTCCACGTGTAGAGATTTGATGATTAAAAGGTAAAACAGTTGACTTACAGAGCCATAGCTGCAATTCCAATTGGAGAATTTAAGGAAGGAGACAAAGAAGGAAAAACTTTGTTTTACTTTATTTAATCAAGTATCTTATAAAATTCCTCTACAATGGCAGCATGATTTGAATTTGCACCGAATATTAGCTAACATTTTCAATTGTTCTCAAAATACCGACATTAATAATAATAATAATAATCATTATTATCATTACAATAATAATAATGAAAAAAACCAATTTCCGTTCGCACGTTTTATTGTTTTTTCTATGTGTAAGGGTAAGCTCGAGGAAACAGTTAAATTGTGGGGTGAAGTAGACAAAAATAATCAATTTAAATATTTTTAGCTTTTCTTACTTTAAACAAAGCTAGCTAAAATAAAACAGGACAACTGGGCCTCACCTGTCCTTCGACGCTTGCAAAAAAAACAGGCAATCAGCGAAACGACATTTACTGCTGCCACTGATCCACCAATGTAATACCACAAAAAATTGGAACCTTGCATGGCTCGTGACGCTTGCTCAGCTAATAGTGTCAGTTAAATATGAAGCCATAAGATAAACCTCAAGCTATCATTGACAAACA